ATCGGCAATGACTTAGTTGCCAACCTGATATATAGAAACGGATATGAGATATAGAATTAGCTAGTGAATTATCACATATTGAGAGAAGTGGACTCTTCACTGGTGATCTTATATATCTAAATTTGTAGATGTTAAAAAATCAATANCAAAGTGTCTGCTCTCCGAAAGGACTTACTCTCAAAATTGACTGACGATGTAACACCCAAACGCATGGATGAGGTCTTTAAGGCCAAACCGACCATAATTCCAGAGGCGAATAGACTCCTACCAAAGGGCACTCATGAGACTGCAGCTGTCACCATCCTCAAGAATAATGTCTTCAAGGATGCATTGGGAATTGGTGACGATTATGAGGTGGGCACAGCAATGCAGCGTGCTGAAGAAAGACGTCGTCAGGCTGAGGAAGCTAAGGCTTTGTTTGAAGCTCAACAGAAATTAAAGTGAGTTTATCTTTGGTTATTTTTGGATAGGCCACACTTTCATATTTCCTCTACAAGTTTTTATTACTTGCAGAACTCTGAAATCCTCATCATCTGAAGAGGAGTCGGATAGTGAGAGTGAGAAGAAAAAGTCAAGGAAGCACAAATCAAAGAAGTCCCACAAGAAATCCCATCACAAGAAGCACAAGCGCAGTCGGAAGCATTCCAGTTCGAGTGAGGAGTCGAGTTCCTCTGTCTCTGAGTCTGAGAAGGATGAAGTCAAGGAGAGGAAAAGAAAGCACCGTAAACATCATCAACATGATGACAAGAATTAAGGATTTGTCTTTCTTTCTCCTTTTAAGCTGAGTGTTGTCGTTTACTCTCCTTCTCTCTTGTACATATTCCCGCGTACGAACCCCACTATATTTTATTTCATTTTGTCGATTAAATTTGTGCTTTAGATTCTTCCCTATTTTTAGTAATTAATCTGTTTGCTTTTGCCATTCCTTCTGTTATATCTACATTTAATTAAAATGTTTGTATGTGCCCCATTTTATTAAATCATCTGACACTTCGTTGTAATTAGCATCTTTCACCTATTATTCGTTCGTTCGAATAGTATTCGCTCGCATATTGTTATTTTTAATCATGGTTATATAAAGCAGCAGCGAATTGGATGGAGGTACTTGTGATGATCTAAAATTGCCATTTAAGGGTATAATTATACTTATTTTGTACACGTGAGCATTAATGGAATACGTAGAAACATACATTTAGTTTGAATGGGTAGAAGATGCTGAGTTGTTACTGCTCCAATTAAACTTACAAGTTGGGCTGGGAGGTATGCTTCCATATGTGCTGCTATTGTCATTGGTTCCTCTTTGTTATTTGGTCCTTGGATAAATCGAATTTTAGTGGTCTACGATATATCTTAAGGAATAATGTCAAATCATAATAAATAGAGGTCAAAATGGAAGTCACAATTTGAACTCTTTTCAATGTCTTTATCAATGACATGGCCGAATTAGTGCAGACAGTCACGGGCATCAAGTGCTTACTTTATGCAGATGATCTTGTTCTATGGTATTCTGCCCCTAAGAAAAACGCTCAGGAGAGGACGGAAAGTGCCCTAAATTGTGCACTTAAACTACTAGCAAACTGGTGCGACAACAATGGAATGGTTATCAACACCGCGAAAACTGCATTCCAAACATTTTCTTTGGCCCATCACAGCATAAACCCACTTCTAAGGTACAAGGATACTACCATAGAAAAAACCAATGAGTTCACATATCTCGGAATGACGTTTGAAACAAAGCTAACATGGAAAAGTCACACTGCTAAAACAGCAAAACGAGTCACCAATAGACTGAATGTACTGAAGCGTCTTGTTGGTAGCATATGGGGCTGTGCATGCTCAACTCTTAACACAACTTACAAGATGCTCATTCAGCCAATAATGTGTTGCTGTGAGCCACTCATTACAGCCNGACTGACTCAGAAATCTCTGTGGCAGAATCTCCTATATCTGGTAAGACTTCAAGAACTAGCTAAGCTACAGCGCAGCTATAGGGGAAACAGTCGTATCGCACTGAACACGTTTATTCAGGAAGTGAAATGTGGGTAGAGTGTGCAGGCAGGGTTTAGTTTAAACAAACGTTGGCTTCTGATTGGCCACTGGTTGTACGGTTGTCTGCACACTGAGTTGTACTGCCGCACCTCCCAGTGCTGGCGTGTGTGCATGCGATGATGAGTTAAGCGAAGACGTGTCCCACGGAACTCGAATTTCGATTTTCTGTTGTCTTTCACTTCCTAAGTGGACCCAAATTAAACTGGGAGTTGAGCACTCACGCCACTGCATGTGCACGCAGGAACGCTGGTCTCGTAAATTACAATTTTGGAGATTACCATCAATGGTTCTAGCTTTTCTGCATAATGACTCGTGTTAGCAACCATATCACTGACCAAAGCAAGTCAAATTCAAATGCACAATTGCATTAATACTACAAACTTATATGTAGAATTTATGTCACGTTACTATGTGTCTTATAGGAAAGTGGGTACATTATATTTAGTGGGACGTCAAAATTGCTGTTTTCGTCGACTTCAAATCAGCATATGACTTAGTATGGAAAGAGAAGCTAATTCTAAAATTGGCAAANATTTTAGTGGTCTACGATATATCTTAAGGAATAATGTCAAATCATAATAAATAGAGGTCAAAATGGAAGTCACAATTTGAACTCTTTTCAATGTCTTTATCAATGACATGGCCGAATTAGTGCAGACAGTCACGGGCATCAAGTGCTTACTTTATGCAGATGATCTTGTTCTATGGTATTCTGCCCCTAAGAAAAACGCTCAGGAGAGGACGGAAAGTGCCCTAAATTGTGCACTTAAACTACTAGCAAACTGGTGCGACAACAATGGAATGGTTATCAACACCGCGAAAACTGCATTCCAAACATTTTCTTTGGCCCATCACAGCATAAACCCACTTCTAAGGTACAAGGATACTACCATAGAAAAAACCAATGAGTTCACATATCTCGGAATGACGTTTGAAACAAAGCTAACATGGAAAAGTCACACTGCTAAAACAGCAAAACGAGTCACCAATAGACTGAATGTACTGAAGCGTCTTGTTGGTAGCATATGGGGCTGTGCATGCTCAACTCTTAACACAACTTACAAGATGCTCATTCAGCCAATAATGTGTTGCTGTGAGCCACTCATTACAGCCACAGAGGTGACTCTCAAACCCCTCGAGAAGGCACACAACCAAGCATTACGACTAATTATTGGAGGAATAGACGGCCACAAACAAGCCAGAGATGACAAGATGTTTATTCAGCCAATAATGTTGTATTTCTGTAACCCACTCATTACAGCCACAGAGGTGACATTCAACTGTGAGCCACTCATTACAGCCACAGAGGTGACTCTCATATCAATACGAGAAGGCACACAACCAAGCATTACGACTAATTACTAGAGGAATAGACGGCCAAAACCAAGCATTACGACTAATTAATGGAGGGATACGGCCACAAAAAGCATTACGACTAATTATTGGAGGGATAAAATCAACACCAATTGATGCAATGCTCCTGGTTACCGGGAGCACCACAATGTGTTCCCTTAACAAAGAGAAGGCCTTGATCCTGTATGTGAAGCTACTGCGCATTCCCATGGACAAATTCTTCAGCAACTATGAGAATAGACCAAGACATCTGAAAACGCAATCTGGTCTAATACAGAAAGCCAGAGAACTGAAGAAAACATTACAAACCAAAAAGCCTCCCTCTACCCANCTCTACCCATGAACCCATTAGCAGACACTGATGTAGTTTGCTGCACCGGCTGCTTGACTACTTCAGGAAATCAAACACCCCTCCAGAACAAATGCGCACACTGGCTCTTGAGACGATCAATGTCAACTATCCCGGAGATCAATGGCTCCAAGTCTTCACTGATGGGTCATACATAGAAAATCAAGCAGACGTTGGTGCTAGTGTCTACTCTGAACTCTTCTCTTTCTACGCAGCAGCGTGAAACAATAGATCCGCTTTCGAAGGAGAAATAGAGGTCATTAG